AATTATTTATGTGATTGGTATGATACGTAAAATAAAAACCTCACATGGCTCTCTGTTTTAGATTAAAAAAATATGATCATTCTGTTTATTGAATTGTTGATCCTCTCATCGACCGATGAGAAACCATGCTCAGTCAGATACGGTTATTTTTCACAAACGGTGCAATATATAGAAATAAATGTTTGTTCATTATATTTATATACATCGTGCTATATAATCTTGATTGTCTAAGTGATTCAGACACATCGATTTCCTTATAATAAAATTGTCGCTATATATGTTGTTATAATAATATCTGTATAAAATAAATAGGTTTGCAGAATAATAGAAGAACTTTGAGAAAATTATTTTCCTCCTTCTCGGTGGCTCTATTGAAATTTCGTAGTTTCGTGTTTTGTTTTTGGTCTTTGTCGTCCACTTATTATACCGCTTTCCGCTGCTACCAGCGTCCATCATTGGCTAACACCACAGCCACCTTCACTATAAATAGGTACTTTACTACCACTACCCCTTCTAAGTGCTAAACGCTCTCATTAAAACTGCGAGCGTAGTTGCGTCCATTGTCCCAGACGGTTAATTCTTCGACTTTTATTACCACGACCTCGACCCATGTACCTTATACTTATATATATGCGCAAGTAGTTTATTTTCATCAGTTCAGACGATTAATTGGCGTCATTTACCTCCCGCATTGAATCTCTCGAATAATCTCCGTCCGGTCCGTTTCATCTCCACCCCGCCCCCGTAAACCTACCCTGTCCACTTGCACTTAACTGAACACAATGACGGACYRCTGCCACTTTTTCAAATACCACCAAAGACGCTTAAATTYGGAGTGCGACGGACATCAGACTGTGTTTTATGAATACGCATAGGTACCTATATAATTACTGTATTGTGATAAAAAGTTGCCACCCGTTGCTGGTTTCTGAACTGGAAGAAAAAAGGTACCTATATAACGCGCTTACCCGTATAATATAATGCAGGTGATTTTTTTTTATAATCGCCAGGCATTTCTTGCTTAGTTTATGTAATAATCGTTTCGTCAGTCGATTTTGTGCGTCTATATAGTGTCGAACGCTCGTTGCCATTAACRTATTTGCAAACAAATTAAAACAAAAACGCATACAAATTTACCGAAAACATCTTTGCATACGTCTAATGTTAAAATATATATATTTGTTCTAGTAGATAATTCTTCACTTGGAATGCCTATCTAGAGTCGGTGCCCATATATAAAATTATAATTAATAACATGTAAAAAGTAAACATAATTATTCTTTTATTAAAATAATACTGTCGTTTCTTACTGGTGGACTAGTAGATATCATAATATTTAGTATCATATTATATAATATAATAGTATATTTATTTAAGATTTTTTCACATGCATCAAAATTATCGAAAATCGTTTATTATTTCGTGTTTTACCTCGTTGATTTAATAAAAATCCGTATTATAATATTATCTCATTAGATATTTAAATTTTAAATATTTTTATTGAGTCATGTGTAAAATAATTGTACATGGAAATAGTATTTGTTATAAACTTATAAATTATTACCAAGTCAGCAATTAATAATGTATATCAGGTATATATTTGTACATGAAAGATAACGGTGTAATGTAGCATAATACATTATAATATTATTTCAAGTTATGCGTGTGATATAATTTATCACACATGTTTGACCTATACAGATATTATTGTTAGGCATAAAATATAATTCGATCGGGTTTGTTTTCAGAATGAACATTTTTGTCTATATTTATAGGTAGGTACATGGCTGTATAGTGTATATATATATATATATATATATATATATATAAATAAGTACATAATATTATGTTATACTTTTAAAACTTAATGCCGTAAATTATGTACTTATGGTTAAAAACTTCTTAATTGCTTTAGTATTGTTAGTTAATAAATTAAAAGAGAGAAAAAATGAAGTTCTTAGCCATGGAATCAACGCTTGGTTGAGCCCTGTGTTTCTAGTGCATAATTTCCCGTTCACGTTCCACGGAAAAAATTCTTGCGTCGGTAATGGGTAAAGTATAATATTGAAAGAAACTTACACTTCATATATATATTTTTTTTTGCACCGTTCGAAAGCCCCTAAGAATGGTTTCAATGAGTGTTTAATATCCTTTAGAGCGMAACTTTTAACTAGTGCCTCGTATGACGTCTGGATCAATTTTAATCCGAAACGAATTGCGTCAAAAACCAAATAAAATGAAAATCCTTTGAGTTTTTCTTTTCATTTATTCTTTTAATAAAATCCTTTGAGACTATCGCAACAAATCGTTTGTCGGAAAACTCTTTACAAATGCAAGCCTGAAATATTACATACAACGCGCTTTTTCATGTGTAAAAATAAACATTTTATGTGTAATGAAATTTTTTTAAATGTGATCCCTTTATCTTTATTCACAGTTCAATAATTACGATTATGAAATTGTATGATACTACATTATATTAATGGAATACGTTTCAGACAACGGTGGAGATATATATTTTTTCCTCCCTTGTGATTTGAATATCTTTTTAATTTCCACTTTACCTGCAGAACGACTTTAAATTCACTGTTCTATAGCTATATTGCTATATAGATTTATTTGAAGGTAATATATTTTTATATTTATATCTTGTAAACTCACGTATGTTTGTTTTATCCGGCAATCGTATTTTCTTCAGCCATTATTGCCATTAATATGGAAACATATAATATAATACGTTAAACGATCGAAAGAGTAGCATTAACCTCAAAGGTTTGTCTGTACATTCGCTGTATAATAATAATTTGTTAAACGGAAACGGTAAAATATAACAAACCAAAGAAAACGACACGTTCACGGTATTATAATTATAATAACATATTGTGCAGATAAAAATCAATGTGATTGCAACATCGAGTGATATGTGGACCCGTTACCAAATCAGTGTGTGAGTGTGTGTGTGTGTGTTGTGGGAGGGGTGCTCATTTGACAATTGACATAAAGGTACATTAGTGTTCCAACTAAATATTCGAATGATTTTGTGTATAATTTATAACACAATATTATAATCGTGCTTCGAATGTATCATAACAGTATGCTTTTTTTTTWAAACCGGRWAGAATCATGACAGTATGCTATACTTACACGTTTGATCACTCTAAATTTTTGTAAAACAACAATAGAAACAAATTAGYGTTTTCTCTTAGACKTCTATTCAAATAAAATATATAATATGTGTGCTGTAAGTGATATAGGGGTATGAGCATTAAACACGAAAAATTGTAAGAGGAGGGTGTGGCAGGCAGTACGTAAAACCTAATTGCATTTGGAACCGATCCAAGTATACGAAGAAACGCGGGYGCGAGAACTCCATGCTCCGTGACTGACTAATAACAAGTTTTGTCTATTGGTTAACGAGGTTATGGTGCAAAACGAGATTAGCTAAATAAGTTTAATTATTGCCGAAACTTGGTCGCCGTATTTGCGTACGTTTGTTCTGCATAACGATGGCGTCGATGCGTTTAGACGRCTTTGCGATTCATAGCACAAACCGCTATTCCAAGATATTAATAATAATGAGTAATGAGACACTGAATACGTTAGTTAAAWTTGATAATCAAAATCATTAAAACCTGAAAGATATCTTGTATTTTATGTGAAATAATGCAATATTGCATCATAAATTTGGTCGWASSGTCAATTTAAGTGGGTATCTATTTTTATTWATTTTTTTATCAGATTAATTAATGTTTTGTACTTATCTCAACATAATAAAATATTTTAATAAAAGTATTATTTAGTATAAACATGTAACGCGGAACTTAATAAGTTTAATTTTTATAACCAATAACGGTATTTTATTTTTAATGTGTTGTAAATAATTGTGGCCCATAATAAAGTAYAATATTTTATCAGCAATAGTTATTTTAATACTTTTAACGGCGTGAGAGGTGTRAATATAAAGTCGTCGTCGTGTTCAAATTGTATTATTTTATATACCACCGGAGTCTCGATCGAACTTCAACCATCGTAGTAATTACAAAAAAATAGTTTTATTCACTATTGTTTTTATTTACAATATATTTTTAGTTTTGAAAACATTTTTGKGTAAATATTTCATTAGTTGAAGTAATAAAATTACATTAATACGTCGTCCAAGGTAGGTACGAAAATAACATACCGCATTCCGTACATAATAATTATATCGYACTWTTAAGCATAGCAACCGCGTGTTTTTTACTAAACATATAATAGCACCGYGTCCCAATGCCGCTGCACCGCGTACGCAGCTCTTAACGCGGATAATATAAGCCACTTAGCTAATTTGCATCGAACGCGAAGGGTCGCARTATTCGTGACTTAATTTATATAGTGTATAACGACAATTCAATTAACCACTTTATCGTCAAGTCAATGTAGTGGGAATACAACGAGAAACCGAGATTACTGCCATTCGTATATATTATTATAATATGATATGCTTCGGTGCTGTAAAATTGGAATAATTAATTAATATCGATTATTGTAATTAATATTATTACTGCTTACGATTAATACTGTAGTGTAGCGCGCAACTTTTGAGGTATTGCAGTGATTCACCCGAATCCGATCCAATTGTCCGTCGTCCACGTTATATGTTAGTGTGAGTACTTGTATGGAAATGTAATAATATTAAAGCTCCCCCTTTTTATGGTTAGTTTTTTTACCTTTCAAAATATTTKTACAGAGTATTATGTACGAAGGCTTTCTTTTCCTTTACAGTGTTATTGATATGCTAAAATTACAAATTAATAACGTCCATTACAGTCTTGGTGTATTTATGAACCACGYGTACTGAACATTCTTGTTATTATTTACATTTACCTCACCTACCACCCTGTATTCTAATTTACTGTTAGTCAACCATTATTAATGCTCATTCAACGTGTTACCTATGTATGCAATAAACATGACGTAAAAAATATTATGTGTTTACTAAGTATATCAATTTTTTTTTACAGGTTTTGGTTTCGTGACTTTCCATTCGGAAGACGTAGTAGATAAAGTCTGCGAAATACATTTCCACGAAATCAACAGTAAAATGGTGAGTTGTCTATTTATACTACAATGTCATAATAATAATATTAAAAATACAAWTTTAATCCCTCATTTTATTTTTGCTTCTTCTTGTTTTTTTTTTCTATCATTCTATCAGCATACTGAACGASGCAATCTTATTAGATGTAAAAATGTTTGATTAGTACAGTATAGGAACTTTATTGACTTACATACTTCTACGCATTTATATTATTGTATAAGTAACATGCAACTATCTGGATTTAAATTAATTATATTACATAACTGCTGTTCGACAATAAATTCATAATATATTTAAATACATATTAAATATGAGTACATTTTTTTTATTCAGATAAAATATATTATCTTCTCAAAGCCGTATAATATCTGTAATATAATTTAATGKAATGGAAATATTATAATAATACCGTAGATTGTCTTTTTCATTATCATCCGCATTTCTAATATTGTATCTTATCATCATATCTTAATTTTACCCGGGTGGAAGGTATTAAATAGCACATTAGCGCAGAAACAAAACGCTGATTACATACGCATTAGGATGGCATAATATAATACAGGGYGACTCATTTTCTACGTCACTGATGAACGATATAATAACACCYTAATATTAGGGCATGTGATGATCAGTTTGCACGACGATGTTTTATCATAAAACTCGTTTTTTGAGATTTCGATATTTTACGTAATAAAATCATAAAAAAGTGTTAATATTAGGTAATTCAAATTATACAAAATTTCCATGTGTGGATTGGTACCATTAAATTATGTATAAATTTGTTAACAAAATGTCATGTCACTTGTATATTATATAATCGCAGGTTATTATAGCTTTGCTCAGTATCTAAAATAACCGAGTATAGGTACACGATATACATCACTATACGTTGCGCGCCGCTTTTTATTCATTATATACTACATACATATTTCAGACTTAATTGCGCATTCGGAGAATTGAATACATAGGTATGACAAAATACCTACAGAGTGTAATTTGTTAGTAGGTTTTTTTTCGTATTTTCCGGTTTCCGTTCTCTTTGAATGAATATTATTCCACGAAGAACCCGACAAGCGTGTATTGTACTTGGTTGTGTATAGTCAATACGTAGGTGGAATATAATTTACCGTTCATAATAATACGTTTGCTTTTGTACCACTGGGATGTTAAAGTAAAAAATATCTTCTTGGGTGCAGAATATTGAGTCGTCGTAGTGGGTWTCTTCATCCACAGTATAGTACACCTGAGTTTTGAAATAATTGTTCTCGTGGTTCCACGCGGAAAAGATAAAACGAACTGCATATTGCATAGCGTCTGTTGAATAATAAAATTGCACTTTTCCAAACACCAGAACCCTCGACAATAATGTTTGGCGACAACACGTCATGTTCTATTGTTCTCTCTATAGACGTCTATGATGCATGTATACATAAGCACATGTCCGCAGAAATAAAATTTTTTATTTTCCATAAAAAAAACCTCAAATAACAATGTATGCGCACGCACGATCCGATTAAATATATTTTCTATTAGCCATCATTCGTAACGTTACGGGGGAACAGTTATCTTTACATTACAGAGAATTCGTACATATATGATATAATATATAAATGTATATATACGCACGGTCTCTCCTATCTACATCGGTAGTCGTCTTTCAGACAAATACGAGAGCCATTTCGAATTATAATATGACATAATGTAATCCATTTTGAAAATTGTTTCATGTCCGGTACCACACAAATCCTATACCATTATATAACGCATATATATACATGTATTGCATCTAAATATCCGATTGATGTGTGACGGCTGTGGTAGTGGTGGTTTTGATAGAACTCCGATACGCACTACCAATGCAAAGTAGTCTTTCTCCTATACCCCGTTATTGACTTTGGGTTAAATAGAGGCAATACAGACGGAATGAAATGCAATTGAGAGAAGTTTAAAATCATTTTTTTGTGATCGCGTATAATATATAACATGATGGAGAAAAATCTTGTGCATATTTTTTAATGTAATATTATATTATATACATAAAACTACTTGAACCTGATGTCAGAGCACTGGTTAGTGGTTACAGTTTTTCTCTATATGTTTTCTTTCAAAACTAAATTCTCCATACATTGTCGTCGATGGAGAATGCTCCCCATTTCTGGTGAAACCGTTCATCGCGTGTGTGGTGCATCTGGAGTTGAAAGAAAGTATCAAAAAATTAAAGCCAAWGTACAATATTTTCCGTAACGAGTTATTAATGTGTAAGAGCATTAACCACGAAGATCGAGTACGGTCGCCACCGGATGGCTGTAATCTTCAGGAAAGGATTGTAACAACCCTTCGTGGTATTAGTGGAAAGCTAGTCGGTGAAGTTGTTGTCGTTTTTTGTTTTCGTTTTTTTTTAGTTTTTAGTTTGTTTTTTCCCCTGCCACCCCGTCACCCCGAGTCTCAGTGGAATAATTGTTTTAATCTCTACAAAACGGCATCCGTTTAAAGTGGCGTGAGGGGCAGTGACGACGCATGGCTGGACGTGGTACAGGGGGTGTTATGCATATTACACTCACACACACATACATACTCATGCATACCGTTGTGTCCAGGCTGGGCTAATGTGCGCTATTAATTGTTTTCCGGTAATTAATGTAATGTCTGGGCTTTAATGTTTTTCGAAGGGTTAATTTAATTTTACACCGCCGACGCCACCGATATGGTTGACTAGGTGCGCATTGCTGCAGGCCGATTGGATGAGGATCGTTGAACAAGTGGGGACGCGGRGAGACCTTATCGACGCGCCCCGATCGAGTTGAAATTAATTAATCTTCCCCGTTTGACACAACTCCCGACCATGTCTGATGCATATATAGGCATTTTATGTGCGCACATAAATATGCACGCGTATATTRTACTCAAGCGAGACAATATAGCGTATGCAAAAATAAAAATAACTAAATTATTATTGTTTTTTTTTTTGTTGTTTGTGCTAATGACTATAACCCTGTTTGGAGGGAATAAATATGATATACTATTATACTATAAAATATACATCGGGGGTGATGTATAGGTGTGTGAGTGTGAGTGTGAGTGTGTTGGCTTGTAATATTAAATGTACTGTTGACCTCGTATCCATTAGGCTGGGTGTCTTGTCTTCTATGAAATATATGGACCGCTCTAGTTATTTATAATCCAAGTAACTCTCATACATTTGAAACTTAAAAATTGTTGATTAATCTGGAAATAACGAATGTTTTTCAATGAATTAAAATAAGAACAACTTACGCACAGTTAAAACAAAAATAATTGACAGTGCTGAGATGAATTTTACGGCGAATCTAAATAATTGTAATACTCCTCACTAATCGTCATCTATGATCATTTAGATAGATAGTACCTATTATGCAGTAAATTTTTTTATTTTTTTATGAATGTATCAAATGAAGTTAAAAAATATACACACGCTTAAAAGAAAATGACGACTTTAGAGACTGTATTTAGATGAACTGATTTTAAAATAATTATATAGACAATATACTGTCGATAGATAAATAATATTGTAATATTTTATTCCGTCCTTTGAACAATAGAATTCAATCATCAATCATGATCGTTTCTATATATTTCTGTTTTCGTTCAAACATTATCTTAATAATTTCTAGAAATCAACTGGAAAACTCCGAAAACTAGAAATAACGAAAATGAATGGTTTTAAAGAGGATCGATTTCTCAATGTAATAAATTATATCTTGATTAGATTTTGATTGAAAAACCACTTTTATAAAATATTCGTGACTAACTATAAGCATTATCAAATATAATTTAATTTAATTTTGGTACCTATTTATTTTTTATTTTCATTATAATAATGTTATTATATATTATGTGCTAGTATTGAGTTWAAAAAAAACTATGTCATTACGAATGATATTACTTATTTACAGAATATACACACATTTAATAGTAGTATTGGGATATCTCAAGTTGTTGTGTGCTATGGTAATGGAACAGTGCGTCGCGTGTTATAAGGTCCGCATATTATTGTACGACTGTTGTGGTATTGCAAAGGATTCGTGAACCGTAATATATGATATATATATATCAATATATTACACGAATAATTGAACGGCTGTAGTAAAGTCGCCCATATCGTTTCAGAAGCACCGGAAGAGCCTTTATTAATAATGCATACGAGAGTTGCAAAACTCATTTAGAGGGGTAGATGGATATTGTTAGGATGGTTGCGTATAGTATTATGCATATAACATGTTGTATACATTCGAATGCAAAACTATAATTTTGGTAGGTATATATGTATTAATAAAATAATTATTCTAAAAAAGTATAAAATTTGTTCCAAATACCTGACCCAATCGATATCTGATTTGCAGTTTGTTTAGCAGATTTTGTTCGAACGTTTTTTTTGTCATAATCGACATTTATAAAAATGTTCAGTTACAAAAAATTGCCTAGTAAAATAATACATATATATTTTCAAAAATAATACGCAATCGGGCGGTCCGTTTCAGATTTGAAAATGATCGGCGCGAGTGACTAATAAAATGTTCCCATAAATATTGTACTCGGAAAATATAAATCTTAGCTGTTCTATAATAATGAACCGTGCTTGGCTGTCCATTTAGTTCCACTACGTAATAATAATAATAAAAATAATAGTAATAATTGTAAACGACTATGGAACGTCGTTCAATGGATACGATAAGCGTCTTTATCGCACTCGGTCCTTTGTTTTTCTCATTTGCTTGCGTTGTGATAGTCATAATATATACAATAGCACACGAGCTGTGAAAACAAAACGGGACGAACATAATGGGTTGCACGTGTGTTTATGTGTGGGTGTAAGGGGATTGAGGGAAAGAGTTCAGAATTAAGGTCCGCAGTAGTTATCCGTATTTGAATAATATCTCAGAAATCGTGCTAAGTACCTATTAATATATATAACTATTAACTACTTATATATTTTGACGATTCTGTGCTTTTGAATTTTGTTTATCTATTCACATTTTTTAGGATAATGGAATTCGCATAGAATTTGATGAGTTGTGATGCTATGCATACAATGAATGTTGCAATATAGTTTTAGGGTCGATTGTACGAAGGGCCAAACATAAACTCCTACACGAATAATTTTTTTACCTGAATCATCATTAAATGTAAACTCCTACACCGAAAACCATTTAACATTTTTTTCTGAAAATCAAAGATACTATAATCTCCTACATGGACATTTTTGGAATTGAAAAGCTTAAAAAGCTAAAATTGATAATAATATAAAAATAATAAGTATATAAAATACAAGCACTAATAATAAATWTGAATTTATACATAAACAAATACGAGGAGAAATTTTACGTTTAGAGTTAACCTCAAAAAATAAACGTAAATGATTATGACTATTGTTTTATTACATTTTTATCTATTTTTTTCAAACTATTTTTGTTTTAGGTTTTTACTTTTGTATAGTATTATGTATTTATGTTGCAGGAGTTAACACTATTTCTTATATCAGTTAACACTATATTTTATAGGAGTTCACATTATCTTTTACAGAAGTTAACACTATCTTTTTTAGGAGATTACATTACATTTGTAGGAGTTTACCATTCCCCACACGAAGTGGTACCGTAAAACAGGAGTGGCTTAATGAAAAAAAAATGGCATCCTAATACGATGTAGCCCATCGAACATTCATTATATTTTCTCTTAATGCACAAATATGTATGGTATATGATACGTCAAGAGAAATATAGAGGGAGTGAGAGACAAAGAAAGAGATTTCTTGAATAATGTGCTCATGTCACGTTCACGTATGATAGATGGCAGAGCCATATTATACGTATATTATATACAGTATGGGTACCTATGCCGTATACATATTATGGTTTGCTTGAATCGCGGTAGGTCTGTTATTAAAAGCTACCCGCAATAAAACATTTACTTTTAAAACCCCTCATTCCGACTGGAGGTTTTTATTTTATTTTATATTTTTTCGTTTTCATTTTACCGTTTCAGTGCGTCGGTTAACTTTCTTTTGAAATTATGATTTTCCCTTACTCCCACTCGTCACACTCGACGTCATTGCGTGTGTCCTCGATCCCAAAACGACCCTTCGCACTAGACACTATAGTATATAAGAACGTTTGCTCGTGTTGTACACTCTGAACCGCTTTGATATCGTGACGGTCGTTSGTATGTATAATGTGTTGAAGTGTGAGTGAATGTGTGTGTGCGTGTGTTTGTATTGCCAGAGCATCGGACGCGACGAGCACGCTTAACCATACATATTGTAGAGTAAACCGTACACTGCAGTATACCCTATTATAGGAAATAATCGGCTAGATCTAGAAGCACAATATAATATATTACTATGTGCATGGATGATAATATAATATTATTATTTGTAGACGCCCGATTGGTGGGTATAGTGGTTAAACAGAACGTGTAACGTTATTATTATCATCATCGCCACAATCATTCGCGTATTATAATGAATTATAGTCTGACAGTACTGTTATATATACGTGCATCTTTGTCGTGGGAGTATAGTAATAGTAAATATTTACTAATAAATATCTGGTACATATAATCATACAGGGTGATCCATGTTCCACTGGTTGCATGGAATTTTACAAGTAAATATACTTGCGTTTATAAGCGGCAAAATGTTACGATCGATTAATGTAGGTAATTAATATAGGTAAATTGTATACCTAGTTTAAATTTTAAATAGTGTCACRTATCGCTACATTTTTTGCGAATAGCGATCATACCTATAGCGACCTGGAAAAAATTATTAAATATAATATATAGTAATATATAATTTGAAGGTTTTTTTTCTGCCAAAATGTAGTGTCATAATAATACTTCAAACCGTATAAAATCATTTTTACCCTTCAAAAACATAGATGCGTGACAATTTGTAGTATTGACTTAAAAACTTAGTGTTGCCTCACAAACGGRATCACCCAGTATACCTATAATAATATCATTTCAACAGTGTATATCAACACTATTATAAATTAATAATTATCTAGTGGYCACGTGGTAATGCCCTACTATTCGCAGTAGTGATGAAAGTAGACCAGGGGGTGGWKGTGTTAGCCAATGGGAATATATTTTACACTACAAACACGGGGAAGATAATCCGCAGTAAATTTAATTTGCTTCTACGATTCGAACATCGATGACGACGTGGTAGTCGTTGCCACCGAGTTAATAATGTCAATACTGTCTAGGTTTGGTTTCTCTTTCCCAACTGCCATCGTTCTGCTATTCTGCACGCTTCTCACTCAAGCACAATATATTATTYCAGATTCTCAGCGAACGACTCCTTGCCCATCCTACTCGTCGTGAGTGAATAATATTAATACCATTAAAAATAACGACGATCGTTATCGAGTCTGGTTTTACGGTGATCTCGACATTTTCATTCCATCGCATTCTGTCACGACATTAACAATTATAAGATATTATAAAGTCAATAATAATAAATAATAATAAACGCGAGACTTACACGAGCAGTACGATTAATGTATTAGACACTGATAGATGCGTTGCACACCATAGTAATATACAATATTACCTATATTTCATACGATTTTTTTTCCACTCTATAAGTCTATTAGCATTTATACGGGAAATCGTTTGGTATTCGTTGGCAGTCGTGCAAGGCGATGACTGTTACGGGCGGCATGCAGACGAATAATAACGAAAAATCGTCGCATCGATGATGAAAATAATAATATAATTACACAAATATCACTTCAAGTCAACCCATATTCAGTGCGTCATGATTATTTTTTTTTTTTTTTACTTCTATAAAATTACGTTAACGTTTGAACTTTACGGTGCTTGATGGGGATATATTATACGTAATCGCACGATGCTCGAAAATCCATTCACCGACCGTAAAAATGGTAATTGCAGTAACCCGTTTGTCGATAAATGCGCTCTGTGCTTGTATTATATATTATTATATGTCCTTTCTGGACGATATGTGAAAAATCAAAGGATTATGCATCATATAAATCGCAGCCGTTCTATAATAGTGTGATAACAAACACCGGTGAATTACTAATAATATGCAGTTATATACTGTGATAATCATATAGGTATTCGCTTGTATATATTATGATCTATGCCATAAAATAACAATTGACAGCGCAGAATATTTGTGCACATGAATAATTATAATTAAAATGATAGGTGCTTAAATAATAATTAATAATCAAYGCGTTATTAAAAGCGCTGCATTTATTTTAGCCGTAAATTGAAACAAACAATGCAAATTTAAATTCAATATTTTGTGTTAGAGATTTCAAACGTTATATGATATTTGTTATAATAATATTTCTAAAATTATRTTGTTGCTACTTTTTTTCTAAAGTTGTATTGACAAACAGTCAAAGGCTTAACTTTATATCCATTTTGCTTGTACACTTTAAATCGATATATATAGTATGTTTTTATTGTTATTAATCATTCAGTCGTTCGTCATCGGTTACAGTGATCGGTCCCCTAAAAGCATCCATAATATCTTTCAAAATCACTCACTTCACGTGTATTCCCGTTCAGGGACAGGCAAGAACACATCATCACTCATTAATATACACTCAAAGTACTCTAGACGTAAATCATTTCAAATAAATGTATAGTTGGAATAATAATATATTACTCATATGCTTGGATATCGTAGTTATACRTCATAATATACATTAACATTTCGCATTKAAAATAATTTCATTTTACATTTTATGAATTACAATTCAATAAAAATATCCCAATGATGCCTAAGGTTATAATAAATATATATATATATTTGTTACGGGCAAAGTATACAATTTGGCATTTTATACATTGTCCGGACATTGGTAATATAATAATAAATATTGATATAATATGCATTTGGTATTACTCAAATAAATCGCATTGATTCTGCTGAGATGGATGATTTAGAACATAACATAYTCCTCATGCAAACCCACGCATAGTGATGCTGGGTTGGGGAAAAAGACTACAGCTATACGGGGAAACAAATCTGTTTAGCTTATTTTCTAGTTTTAATTTTACTAATATGTTAACGACATGACAATTGAGTTTTAATTTTTCGTTCGTGTCCGCAGGTGGAGTGTAAAAAGGCGCAACCGAAGGAAGTGATGCTGCCGGCCAACCTGGCGAAAACGCGAGCAGCTGGCCGCGGGACTTACGGTGAGTTTATTGTTATGAAAAAACCTGGAGTGGGCTTGTGTGCCGCCAGTGGCGGGTCGCGCGTGTGCCATCACCACCATCATCACCATCGTCTGGTGGGTGGTTCACCGTCTGGCGCGCATCACCACCAACACCACGGTGTCGTCGGGGGCGCGGCTGGCGCTGTGTTGGGGGGTGGTGGCAGTGGCGTTGGCGTTGGCTTTGGCGGGGGAGGCGTGGGTGGCGGGGGCGGTGGTGGCGCGATGGTCGCGGCCACGCCAGCCACCGCGGCCATCGGCTACCGTTTCGCTCCGTACCCGCTGCCACAACAGTCGGTGGCCGCCGCCGCGGTGGCCGCCAGCCAGCAACAACAACAGCAGCAGCAGCAACTCCTCCTCCACCATAACCACCACCACCAGCACCAACAGCAGCAACACCAACAGCAATTGCACCAGCAACAGCACCACTTTCAGCAACAGCAACACCTTCACCACCACCTCCAGCAGCATCAGCCGGCGGCCGCGTCGCTCGTTCAGTTACCGATGATTGGAGCGATGCAGCAGGCGGCCGCGTGCAAACGTCTGCTGGCCGCCGCGGCCGCCGGCGTCCGATTGCCTGTATGCAACCCGCAGCCACAACAGCCACCCCCGCAGACGGTTGCGTTTAATTTCCCCGATGGTCTAGCGTTCGCCGTTCAGGGTGTGCCCGGCGCCGCCGATATTCCCGCCCTTTATCAGACCGCCACCATACCGATAACGTTTTAAACGAATGCGCTCCCCCACCCTTACCTGATTGTGAAATCAAAAATGTATACAAAGCCCACAACCCTTTTTTCGCTGCAAAAAACGACCCCTTTATTTTCCTCGATATAGTGAATTTGATCCACAGATATCCTTTTTGACTGAAGCACCAAACCAAACTCCCTAAGCCGATTACAACCTCAAATAAAAATGTAAATATTAAACGACGATCAAAACTGGTTTTCGTTATTATTGTGAGCTGTGTCCTACTTACAATATATATATATATATAGATATAGATATATATAGATACATATTTATAATAATAATAAAAGAAGATTATTATGTGTGCGATGGTATTATAATATTTTGTGCCAAATATGTGTTAATCCGGGAGAGCTTTGGGACTCTTGTAGCGAAAAAATACAAATATTTTTTCTTGCGGCCTATGTTTTACCGGTAYCAAAATGGATGTGCTAGAACCGTAAGTTGACTATGTCTGATGTGGCCTGCTCTTGGTATTTGTTAATAAGTAATTGTTTTTTTWWAATTTTTTTGCTATTGTCAATATTAACCTAATTCCAGTAGCGTAGGTATTTATGTAATAATATCGTCGTTGTTGAATATTGTTTTCAACAATCGATTACATATAACATGTAATCATAATCAGTGGCGCACAGAAGTATTTTACGAACAGTRCAGTTGAAAATAGTTAGTCACCCACCCTCTCAATTTTTTATTTAAAAAATATTTTTACTTATTAATATAACTATAGTTCAATGAGATTAATAATTATAAATTATAGTTTATGTTATACATTTATAAACTTCTCTGTGACACCTGCAGTAATATACAAACAACGCTTTGAGAACACATAATGCAGTTACAGCACTTGCTAACCTGCCTGGGCGCCACTGATTCATAATGACGAATCATTTACAAGTTTAGAATAGACAATTAATTATATATCCATCCAATATTAGAATATTATATTGTACCTATAAAAATTTATTATATTATATTATATTAAAACATTATACATAATATATTATATCTGTAGTATAGACAATATATATTATACATATTATTATTATCTTTTCGTGACGTTTTATGTATAAAAAAAAACAGTTATTGTAATTTAATTAATTATAATTTTGTAATCACTTAGTCAGTAGCTAGTGGTTTGACATCCCGTTTAGCTGTAACTCGTTTTTACGTTGAATTTTTGAATTTCCATTATAACAGTTATCAAAATATAACATATTTATATCGTACACACTCTAAAGAGTAAATATTCGATTCATYCTTCCAAAAAATTCTACCATATCACTTGATTACTTTTTATCAGTACCTATGTTTATCTATGTATTTAATAGTACCTAATATGTGTTTACCTATTTTTAAATACTGAAATCCTTTACATATCAAGTATTTTGAAAATTACCATTACCTAACGATTCACGCAACAATGTATCATAATATCATATGATAGTAAAATCGCACAATASTCTAATATATTAAATTAGTGAGAGACTCGTTGTTTACGATGTAGGTAATATTATACGACGTTCTAAAATTGAACTGTTAAGTCTTCCACGCCACCGCACTTTTTCTATCTATTTGATAATAATTACAATATAATTATTTCGATAATTCGATACAATCTCAGATTATATAATATGATCTATTATTTTAAATTGTTTGAAATTATCTCCTCTTATCAAAATTGACTGATATTGATGAAATCGAAAAACAAAATAGATCGAAAAACTTGACGATTCGGGTTAAAAAGATTAAAAACTAACATTTTAAATGCGCACCTACAACTTTGTACCTACCACACATTATCTACATAGTGAGATGTAAGTAGTTGAATGTTCTACTATCTCGGCTCACGTTTTAATCTCAGCATGAATACGATGTATTATATTGTACTACCCACGTTATCGTTTGATTGTCTATTTTAAACAATTCGTTCCCACAGTATTATTTTTTGTATCAATATATATATAAGTCTCCCGTTTAAGTATTTATTTGTGTTATTTTTTTTTAGGCATTTATCATTATTTATTATTGTACATCTCGTTCAGTGAACAAAAAAAAAATAAATAAATGGTTATAGAACGATTTTTCTAAAATATGGATGTGAATAAAATGCATAGGTTTTGTGGCTTATATAAGACTCATGTGTGCCAATTTTTGTCGGTAATACGACAACCCATACACTACCCAAGCGCCTACTACTTATTCGGGTTTTCTTATTCTTATGTGTGTGTTTGTGTACAAGATATATAACGTGATTTTTATTAAAAAAAAATAAAATAAAAAAATCTCGCATAACGGACCAAACAGTTTGATGGGATTTTTTCATCATATTGTTCGACATTAATCGGCTTACGTTCTTCGAGGCATTATAAGCTCTTGCCAAAGTTCTGATCGGTATTCTTTAGACGCTTTAAAAAATATATAAACTATATTTTCCCCTTTKCCTACCCACTCGCCTCCCTAATAGATCGCGTAGGATGGATGTTATAGTTTCGCTTCACTGACAGCCCCGACTATGGGCCGGGCGCATCCGAACCATTAGTTTAGAGAGATTTCATAGCGACCGCAAAGCTAAATAAAAACGGAAAAAAAAAATTAGATTTTATTACTCCAGGTGCCAGAGGAGTAGATCTGCATGCGTATGGTATAATATGTAATATGTASCTATCACGTATTGACTGTGCACCCAAAAAATATATTAAGGATAATTTAATGAATTCAACGAAATATTGTTTTCATTCCCACCCCCTCACTTAAACGAGTGGCTGAAGCTTAATAATATAATATTGATGTTAATTTTTCTACYAGGAAAATATCAGTCTCCTACAAGATTCATAAATCTTATTTAAACTTAACATCAATAAAACAGTTCGTTTCTCTACGAAAATTTACCTTTAAAATGGAAAACGGTTGATGATAAATTTGTTTTTCGACCCAAGAATTTTGTGTGCAGGTGATAAAATAAAATAAAATTAGCATCTGTATATAAAATGAACCTTATTTTTTTTTTGAACATCACTTAATAAGCCACAAACTACGCATTTTACAACGATCCATTACGATGATAATATTGTTAAATCGATAGTCACAAACGAGTGTTGGTAATTTATATAATAAACAATGGTACATGATTTATATTATAAATAGCGTTATATTACTACCTACCTATATTACATTGTATTAGACAGAGGACGTTATAATTTTTTTATGCAGTTCTTCTGGATTAGTTTTGATTATGTTTAGTGGACATTTTCACTGTAATTATTACAACATACGTTCTATGATTAAATTATATTGTTTGTGTTTATAGATAGTGTTATTGATTATATTGTATTGCATCCCTATAAAAACGAGTCGAATCGAAAACTGCAGTATGTGTAATGGTTTCCAGTTCGACTGTACCTTAGTTACCAATTAATAAAACATTATATACATTGAAACGTGTCCATACGACCTCCGGTCATATTACAATCTTAACACGTATAGCTTTGTCATCCCGTTTTTATATTTATATTTATTTATTTTTTATTTATATACATTTAACTTCAGAATATTTTAAAAATTATTWTTTTTCTATTTTAGATATTTTATAATATTTTTCGTTCTTCGCAGAACATTAGACTTAGGTTTTTTCAACTATTATTACGTTCTTCAAAATTTAGTTAAAACTATAATTATTATTATACATACATATATACATATATGTAATACATAGTGTCTATTATAGTTTAGCTTAGTCCTGAAAGCTCTCACTCAAAATTAATTTATACGATTTCGAAACATAACTACCGCCGCGTGATCCTCCATAATACCGTCCCAAAAATTTGATTACAAAACCAAACGTTTCAAATGCACACGTTTAAATGGATCGATAAATTTTGCGATGAATGTTGTATTGACGAAACGAGTTATTTAATGTTCTTCACATAATATAATAATTGTATTGAATAATTGTGTAATGTTAAACCGATAATAATCGTATAGTTTATATTWTATTAAAATACTAATATGCGTGATTTTTTTTGATTTTTTTTAGATTTTATGTGGCCATTGGGGACCTTGCCTGACGGTGAGTACTGTTATTACTTTCAATAGATTTATACAAAGCAAATATGTACTTTTTTGTGTTTTCATCTCGCGTGTGCCATAATATCATAATATATTATTATTATTGTTAATATCATATCCTTGCAGTCTCTTTTTTACACCTGAATATAATTAATCGAACAAAGTTTAACGGGTGGTGGGGTTAGGGGTTGCTGTCCGATTTCAGCGTCATTAGTAACGTAATACGTCAAGGCTGATGTGTAACGTCGTTACAAAATAATAAACATTACCTCTACCCTCTGTACGCACAGAAACCATGACACAATAGAAAACCTATATATGATACATAGGCGAAGAGCCGATTGGTCGGATGATGAYGGAGTTCCCGGTTGAGGAATGGTCGTAGGGGAAGGAAGTGTGTTTAGACAATGACAAATGGTCTCTCTCGCCCCTTACCAGCCATGAGTGGTGGGGATGGGAGAAGGGTGGTAAAATGAGGGACAAGCAGACTGGGTAAGGGGTGAATTGGTGTGGCTGGCTGACACTCACTGTTGAGTTCGCATAACAAATTATTCTAAGACACGACTAATTCCTTTATCGTGTCCGGCGTTCCCGTCGTCGTCGCAGTTCTCATTAATCCGTTCGATATGTATCGCGTCAAAACGATTCATTTTAATCATAATAATTTACAAACAAAATTATATTAATTTCGTCTGTCAGAACTATCTATATAATAGTATTTAGTGTAAATTGTACATACAATTTGAACTTTTAATTTTTGTTCAACGACAAAACGTTGTACGAAAATTCTATTTTGTGTCAAACAATCGCCGTGGTCCTTATCAGCCGATAAATAATTTATAAGCAAAAAATAAATGATATTTCATATACAACATAAAATTAATATTGTATATTCTTCTGTTTTGGGAGAAAACATTTGGGAAAAACCGAATACACACGTATTATTTGAAATTGTGAATTTATCCGCAGCCATTTTAATTACGGATAATAACTGCGTCAGCCGCTGGCTCGTTCTTTTTTCCTTTTTTTTAATTTATTTTTTTACTTTTTATTTAATCCCCTTGTCACTCCAAAGCACTAGAAGGGATATGGTGAAGCTTTTCTGGTATGCCCGACAAATGGATTCGTGTACGTCCAAACAGTCATCGCGACAGTGCCAAGACAGATGATCGTCCCCTCGAGCCGCGCACTGTCGCGTTTGCGTTGCGCGCTTATGCGGAGGGATGGAATGGGAAAAAACATTTGACATTCATCCCTCTTTTTATACCGAATTTCCGCTCATTCTGAGAAATACTCGAGATCCGACCGGGGACGACGGAATCACCATAATGAATTCGCGATATCAATCTTCGGTATACAAAATACCCCGCGAGTGCATTTGCTCGGTRCGGGACTGGGTAGTAGCACTCGTCAGCGACCGACGAAATCGTGCGAAAAGTATTATTTATGATGCTCACGTTATATTATTATTGCTGTTCCTCTGTACACTGCATGTCGTATATATATGTGTGTGTGTGTGTGTGTGTGTGTGTGTGTGTGTGTGTTTACATTAGTCATACTACGCATACCACATAATATAGTGTGCATGATAAATGTATAATTGTATACATTTCGAGGCGGCGAAATAGTATTATCCTTCCGTAGAAAAACAGGACCGATAAACACCCAAAAATCGTTACTCATTTAAATAGATATTCCACTGAACTTTGATTTGTTCTCACCACGCAACAAACGTGAAAAGTATATACCTAAATATACTATATTATATAGTTTCGCGTTTCAATCGTTCATTAGGAACATCACGAGTTCGGGACCAAATATTTAGAGTTTTTTTATTTACCAAAATCTATTTTACCATTATTATTTTTTATCTTTTTGATTACACAACGTATTTTGTGAATTAAACGCTTTTTTAAACTAATGTAAAGAAATCATTATAATGGAACACTTTATTTAGCCAAATTCATTATCTTATATTTAAATTACTACCATCTATTCATTTATTCGTGTGTTCGGTACTTATATATATAGGTATTAAATTATTTTAATAATATTATAATGTTCGTTAATTTCATCTGTATTCAGATTTATAAATTATTATAAGTCGTTTAAAATGAGGAATTAAGCACGGGACGAATTACAAAGTTTGTTAGTATATTTTTTTTCATATTTAATATATTTTATAATAATATTCAAATTATGCAGCGTTATTATATATCATTATTTTGTTTTTATAAAAATCGGCTTTTATAATCTGACAATTATTTAAACGATGCGCAATTAAGAAATGTTTAATT